GAGGAAGGGAGTGGAAACGAGAACGAGAGAAGGAGGGGACGGCCTGAAAAGCTCGGGCCAGCCTGGGTTCGATCGCTCAATATTCATCCCTTGGCCGGACGAGAGCGCCCGAGAACAGTAGCTCCAGACGAGGGCACGAATCGACCCTTCCTTCCTTTGCGTCCTCGCCCGCGGAACTGTTCGATCGCGGCACCGTTCCACCAGAAGACGGGCAACAAGATCGCAAGAAGCAGCAGCAGAGTCGTCGGAGGACCGAGGAGGAGAAAAAGAAAAAAAAAAGAAACACACAAGACATTCGCGAATTTCGTCGTCGTTTTACGTTCGTTGCAATCGTCGTGGTGACTCGCGGGAGAGATCAGCGATCGTTCCTCTCTCCATCTTTCCGTTTAAACGATCGGGCATGGAGGGTAAAAAGGTCGAGCAGTTTTATACTCCGCCGCCGAAGCTTGGCAAATGGGAGGGTTTTAGGGTCTTTCTATGGAACTCCGAGACTGGACAGTTCCTGGGGCGCACAGGCGCTAGTTGGGGTAAGTTTTCTCGCTGTGTAAATTTCCTTCTTGTCCATTCTTGCTTGCCATTGTCGAGTCAAGTTCAACGTAGTTCAGTAACCACCGTGACTTTTCGTCTTCTTTCTGAGACATTTGATCGTGTAATTGACAAGTACAATAGTTTCTGTCCCCTCGAGTTCTTCCTTGACGAAAGGACGAAAGTGAGAGATATTTCAGACAGTGGCTCGAAAACAGATAACAATATACTAAATTTGATTCGATCGATGACAATTGATTTGACGACGTTCGTCGAATAGCTCGTTCTGTCGGAGATTATTTCGGGATATTATCCGTGGCCAGAGTGTGACAAAAGGTCGAAACTTGATAATTCGATTGACATTTAATGGTAACCCCATCGTTCCTGACGTAAAGCGTCGCAATGTGCACGCGCACACTGCAGATCAGTAGCGGTGCCATATATCTAGAAAGAACTTTTCTACTGCATTCGAACGAACAAAACCTTCTGTTCTGATTGTGGTCCAATCGATCTCGATTTCGCTACGTTGATGTCATTAAATAATCACGTACATTTCATTTCTCTTTCGAGTCTCTTTCTTCCTACTGTCAAGCCTGGATCTATTTGTTGTAAAAATTTATTCCGCTCATAAATAAGAGAACAACTTTTCTGTTCTTTTCTAACGAATGAAATGCTGCTTGATATGACGCGTGGGTCTCTATAATTCTGTGACAGAAATTTCATATTTGTTCTGTGGCTGTCTCCGTAATATCGTTTTCTTTCTTTATACATGTTGGATAATACTTCTTCAAGATTCTCAACGGGATTCTTTAAAAGAAATGGTGGGGCGGTTCCGTCCTCACGATTCCCATCGTTCTATTTTTGTTTTCCGTTAACATGTTTATAAGAGGGGGAACTCGCACAGGGGTTATCTCTATATTTTCTTAATATAAAGCTTCTGCCAACAGATTAGGAAAATGTTATGTTGGTTGCTTGTTTCTCTATAAATTCTTTAATAAACGAAAAGTACGTTGTTATCCTTTGCGACTGGAGGACGGAAATATTCAAAGTAACTTTTTAAAATAACTCTCGTTAATTTGTTACTTGTCTTATAGTTATGTAGCACAAGTAGGTTTCATGTTTCGATGCGTTTGCAATGAACATGACAATTCCGTGTGATGCTACCCAGTGACGTATACAAATGAATTCTCCATATTGTCGTGTTATGTAATGCAATTGCGGAAAGATTTGGTCGATAACGATATCATCCAATATCACTGTATATTGCATAATATACGTGAGTGATCTCTCAATCGCGAAACTTTTACTCCGTTTTTCTACGATTGAAAATCAGTCGACAGAGAATTGCAACTGTTCTGACAACGTAAAATC